TATCTTTTGATGACTCCCAGTTGTTGCTTGCGCGCTGGGACTATGCCCCTCGAGTAGACGCCGACCAGCCACAGTGGCGGCGCTCTTTTGAGTCTTGGCTACAGAGAGCGCTTGACTCATCTCGCGTGGTAGATGTCCACCGCGAGGCATTTTTCACCGGGCAGGCTTTGCCAGACGGTACACACGAGATGTACAAACCAAATTGGTCGTATGATTGGACTTGGCCTGACCCCACCGACGAAGAAGGACGTCTGCATCAATATGAGACTAGCCAGGGATATGTTGACAATAGGCTGGCCCGTATCAAAGAAGATAGGGAAGTGGAAGCACGTCTAGCTCATGAGCGCTGGCTAGCCGACGTCGAGTTCTACAAGCGTTACCCGAAGCCCGGAGAGACGAGACAAGATTTGTACCTGCGTCCAGTCGAAGACAGCGATGTTGAGCAGCTTGCGCGCATTTTTAGCTGGTATTCTGAAAATTCCCCAATGAGCTTAGATATCGGGGTCATAAGTGAGGAAATCGTCCGGAACCGCATCGCAGATATCAAGAAATACCGACTGCCATTCATCGTGGCCGTGGAACGTCCTACGCCCGGCGAGGATGCAGATACCCCCAGCAAGATCCTGGGATTTGCGCTTGCCATCGACCATGACGGACCGTGGACTACAGGCCAGTTCGCGGTCAAGCTCGAGTTCTACATGATGCCAAGGGAGCAACAACACGGGGTCGGAACCTGCCTGATGGACAAAATGCTCTCGGTATTGGACGACAGGTACGTACCCAAACGTGGATACCATTTCCGCTGCTCGCAGGAGGACGACAATGCGTACCGTCCGGGCGGTCTGCGTGACATGGCTCGAGTCATCGTGACATGCAGTTTCCCTTGGTCGGAGCGTGATCGTTACCAGTACATCCGCACCTGGCTCCAGCGGAAGTGGGATTTCACCGAGCAAGGCCACCTGCGTGGGACACGCTTGAAGTTCGATAGCCAGTAAGTACCATACAGCGTCAGTCTGATATGATAGTGTTACTGACCCAAGGGGTACAAACCAGTCTTGATGTGATCTATTTGGTTCGCAATTTGGGCTGAAATGATCATTGTCGAATTGCGAGTCGCCATATTTCGCCGACCAACAAACCTCTCTCGTGGACTAGCTCCGCTTGTGTGGTGTCAATCTCTTTTGTCTTTTCATATCTAATCAACAGACCCGTGATTGTTATCGTTTGCCTTATGAGTTGCCCTCCAGGCTGATGCTCCCCTTGTCCTTTGATGGTATTATCAGCTCTTTCCTGGACTAGAAGGCTGGATAAATTTGTTGTTGCCACAGTACGCGGTCAAAAGCAAAAATCTCAGACAAAAGACAGAATGGAAATGGATGCTAATATGTGAGAAATTGAAAACGTTGCGATCCGGAGCCCACCTTTATCATCTCATGCTCCGAGGTTCCGTAGAGAAGCTTAGATCACACCAGCCTCTGTAACCAACAACCAAAGATTTGTACAGGAAAGCAGACAGCCGAACAGACCCAATCACTAACACCCCAAGAAAGCGGAAACACTTTCTGCCGGGATTAGAAGTCTCACCGCCTCGGAAGTTTCAACTTTTTTTCCATTCCCGCATTCCACTGGTTCCTGGCCGATTTGACTGGTGAGAAACAAAAAAAAGTTGGGGGCTTGAGATTTCACTCTTATTCGATCATTACTTCCTCCTACGCAGATTTCTTCACTAATCTTACCAATAAGTCTGGAATTGGACAATCTGGAACCACAAGGAACCTTTCAAGGCTTCTGAATAAGAATCCGAAGAAAAGATGGCTCCCAAACGGAAGGTGGATGACGACTTCGTCATGACGTTGTCCGACGACGAGAACGACACGCCCAATCAGCTTGACGAGGAAGGTGACAACGACGAATTCGCCTCGAAGAGGACCGACGCTGCGACGAAAAAGCGCAAGAGGGAGGAGCCGGCCGACACCAAGAACAAGAAGGTGAAGCAGCAGCAGCAGCAGCAGCAGCAGCAGGAGAACAAGAAGCAGGCCAACAAGTCGTCGAAGAAAGGCTCGAAGCAGGCTGCGCAATTGGAGCTGGAAGAGGAGGACAGCGAAGAGGACAGCGAAGATGAGGAGGCCGATGCCGCTGAGGATGATGGGGCCCTGAACCCCGACTTCGAATTCGATGTGGGAGGGGTTGCGAATGAGGTGACCGAGTTCGATGGGTGGGCGCAGAATGTGCCTGACGAGGAGACGGGAAGAAAGGGCGACAAGAAGGCGGTTGACATTGATGAGATCATTGAGAGGCGGCAGGCAAAGAAAGAGGCTGCGGCGAAGAAGAAGCAGAAGAGGCAGCAGGTGGCTGAGGAGCATGATAGTGGAGATGAGTCGGATGGGGGCATGTCCGTCGATTTCGGCGATGATGAGCTGATGGCGGAGGATGGCTTCGGCATGGGCGCTGATGGCGAGGATGAGAGTGGCAATGAAAATGCGGACGAGGACTCAGAAGAGGAGGCCGAGGAGGAGGACGACGACGACGACGACGAAGAGGCTAACGAGGATGATGAGGATGAGGACGAAGATGAGGAAGCTGCTTCCGACGACGACTCCGTCGCTACTCCTGTCGCGCACCCTGACGATGTGGGCGCTGACGAGGAATCTGATGCGGAGAGCGAAGTTGACGCTGAAGAAGCAGCCAAACGCAAGGCATTCTTCGCCCCCGAGGAGAAGACTGAGACCTCTGCTGTCAACGCGAAACGATCCTTCCAGGACTTCAACCTGTCGCGACCTATCCTTCGTGGTCTGGCTGCGGTCAACTTCTCCAACCCGACCCCCATCCAGCAGAAGACCATCCCCGTTGCGCTTCTCGGAAAGGATATCGTTGGCAGTGCCGTTACTGGTTCCGGTAAGACGGCTGCCTTCGTCGTTCCCATTCTCGAACGTCTGCTCTTCCGTCCGCGCAAGGTCCCTACCAGCCGTGTCGCGATTCTGATGCCCACTCGCGAGTTGGCAGTCCAGTGTTACAATGTGGCCACCAAGCTGGCCACCTACACCGATATCACCTTTTGTCAGTTGGTTGGTGGTTTCAGCCTGCGTGAGCAGGAGAACATTCTCAAGAAGCGGCCCGACGTGATTATTGCCACCCCGGGTCGTTTCATCGATCATATGCGCAACTCGCCTAGTTTCACGGTTGATACACTCGAGATTCTGGTGCTCGATGAAGCCGACCGCATGCTCGAGGACGGTTTCGCTGACGAACTGAATGAGATCTTGACCACTATCCCCAAGTCCCGCCAAACCATGCTCTTCTCCGCTACGATGACCGACACCGTCGACAAACTTATCCGCGTCGGTCTGAACCGTCCCGTGCGCCTGATGGTCGATTCGAAGAAGAACACGGCCTTGACGCTGACCCAGGAATTCGTGCGTCTCCGCCCTGGTCGGGAAGACAAGCGCTTGGGTTACCTGCTGTATCTGTGCAAGGAAATTTACACTGGACGAGTTATCGTCTTCTTCCGCCAGAAGAAAGAGGCCCACCGCGTCCGCATTGTTTTCAGTCTGCTTGGGTTGAAAGCTGCCGAGCTTCACGGTAGCATGAGCCAAGAACAGGTATGTCCGAATCTATCCTACGACTTATGAGCACGAGCTAACCGCCGTTCTGCAGCGTATCAAAAGCGTGGAGAGCTTCCGTGACGGCAAGGCTGCCTTCCTCCTGGCCACCGACCTGGCGTCTCGTGGTCTGGATATCAAGGGAGTGGAAACGGTCATCAACTACGAAGCTCCGCAAAGTCACGAGATCTATCTTCACCGTGTCGGTCGTACCGCGCGTGCCGGCCGCTCGGGTCGGGCCTGCACGATTGCGGCCGAGCCAGACCGCAAGGTGGTGAAGGCCGCCGTCAAGGCCGGCAAGGCGCAAGGTGCCAAGATCGCCAGTCGAGTGATCGACCCTGCGGTTGCGGATTCATGGGCGGCGAAGGCCGAAGGATTAGCCGATGAGATTGAGGAAGTTCTGGAAGAGGAGAAAGTGGAAAAGCAGCTGGCACAAGCTGAGATGCAGGTGACCAAGGGAGAGAATCTGATCAAGCACGAGGCCGAGATCAAGTCCCGGCCCAAGCGGACGTGGTTTGAAACCGAGAAAGACAAGCGCGCAGCTCGCAAGCTGGGCGCAGAGGCATTGAACGGACCCGGTCAGTCGAAGAAGGAGAAGGTGAAGCTAAGCAACAAGGACAAGAAGAAATTGGACGACTCCAGACAGCGCTTGGAGGGCAATGCCGGCTGGAAGAAGGGCAAGAACATGCGAGAGTCGCAAAAGAATGGGAGAGTTCCGACTGAGAAGAAGGGCAAGAAGGGGAAAAAATGAGGGTGGTGATGATGACGATGATTGAAGCCTGTTGAGAGTATTTAGTGTATATACCTTTTCCTTTTCCCACGATTTTTTTCCTTTTCCTTGTTCTCTTTGCTCTCTCCATCGCCAGCTAGATGTGGTGCCAATGATTCCATTTTCCAAACCGAGTAAATCAACGGGCAGCGTCGGCTATCCGCGGGGGTGGAATCTGATGAGGAGGAAGGAGAGGATTGACCGCCTCCGGTCATCGGCGTGCCGGTTCCCCCCCTTCCCCCCCCCCAGACTTACCCGGAGCGGGAGACTCGCAGCTTTGCTTTCCCGGTCGGGGGGTTGCTAATCACTGCACTGTGATTGAAGAAGGACTTGAAGAAGGACTGACGGTAGAATAGTAGGCACAATGTCGTCAAATGCGCAAGGTGACCGACCGAGACTCTGGAGCATTTTATTTTTACTCGATACGTGCACCTGGATTGTTGTTAGATGATGTTCTGTCGAGGGAAGAAGGCGATTATCCTATCAGACCTCGCCCCGCCATCCGCTGTCGGCGCCGTACAGTAAAAAAAATCAATGATGGAGCGTCATCCAAAGAAATTCCAACTTGACTCACTCCCTCGCCGCTTTCTTATAACTAAATAACTACCTCGTACTCTCGCCCTTCCTATTTCTTTCTTCTTACTCTCTCCTTCAAACTACAAACCGCCACCAACCCGCTCTGTCTACTTCCTCTTCACGAGGCAATTCCTCATTCCCTAAATCCATCCTCTTTTCCTCTACTCCAATCCAACCCCAGCTTTGTCTCGACTCTCAACCTCAATTTCCCCCCACCACCGTCTTTCCTCCCTCTTCCCCGCTGCGGATCCCCCTTCCCCCCTCCGCTCGCTCTCTCGCCCATCATGCCCATGTAAGCTCCCATTGCCGTTTCTCCTTCATATTTGGTGCTCTGTCAGACGTCAGAATATGTAATTGATTAATTTCCGTTACAGGCTCAAAGATCCCTCGAAGAAATACAAGCGGTTTCAGCCGATCCACCTTCCTGACCGCCAATGGCCCAACAAGGTCATCGATAACCCTCCCCGCTGGCTGGCCACGGATTTGAGAGATGGTAACCAGAGCTTGCCCGACCCCATGGTAGGACTTTCCCCTCCCTTTGCTTTTAGTAGACTGGTTCCTCTTTGGGGTACAATTGATTGCCACCCGAGCAGACTAACATGTGTCCTCCGTGACAGGATGGGGAACAAAAACTCCGCTTCTTCAAGATGCTCCGCGACATCGGTTACAAGGAAATCGAAGTCTCATTCCCCTCTGCCTCCCAAACTGACTTCGACTTTACCCGTCGCCTGGTCGAAACTCCTGGCCTGGTTCCCGATGATGTATGGCTCCAAGTCCTGTCCCCGTGTCGCGAGGACCTGATCCGGCGCACGGTAGACTCCCTCAAGGGAGCCAAGAAGGCGATCCTGCACATCTACCTGGCTACAAGTCCGTGTTTCCGGCGTATCGTCTTCAATATGGACAAGGAGAAGAGCTTGGAGATGGCCGTCCGCTGCACCAAGTATGCGCGGTCGATCACCAAGGATGACCCTGAGATGGCTGGTACAGAATGGCACTTCGAGTTCTCGCCGGAGACTTTCTCGGATACCGAGCCCGAGTTCGCCGCACAGGTATGCGAGGCCGTCAAGGCCGCCTGGGAGCCCACGGAGAAGGACCCCATCATTTTCAACCTGCCCGCCACGGTTGAGATGTCGACCCCCAACGTCTTCGCCGACCAGGTCGAGTTCTTCTGCCGCAACGTCTCTGAGCGCGAGAAGTACGTTGTCTCCGTTCACCCCCACAACGACCGCGGTTGCGCCGTCGCCGCCGCCGAGTTGGCCCAGATGGCTGGCGCACAGCGTGTCGAGGGTACCCTGTTCGGCAACGGTGAGCGCACTGGAAACGTTGACCTGGTCACCCTGGCCCTCAACCTCTATACGCAAGGTGTCTCGCCCAAGGTCGACTTCTCCGACATCAACTCGGTCATTAAGGTCGTCGAGGAGAGCAACAAGATTCCCGTGAACGAGAGATGGCCCTACGGCGGGCAGCTGGTGGTGTGCGCTTTCAGCGGCAGTCACCAGGACGCGATCAAGAAGGGATTCAAGCTTCGCGAGGAGGCGGGTGCCAGCGACGACACGAAATGGGAGATCCCCTACTTGCCCCTGGACCCGCAGGACATCGGCCGGACCTACGAGGCTGTTATCCGTGTCAACTCGCAGAGCGGCAAAGGTGGTGCCGCTTGGGTCATCCTGCGCAGCCTGGAGCTGGATCTCCCGCGCGCTCTGCAGGTGGAGTTCAGCAAGATCGTGCAGCGCAAGACCGAAGATGTCAGCCGCGAGCTGCTGCCCAGCGAAGTGGTGGCCCTGTTCGAGGAAGCCTACCACCTCAAGTCCAACCCGCGCTTCACGCTGATCGACTACAACATCACGACGGACCGGTCGACCTCCCCCGCACCTCCAGAGCCCGGCAAAGCTCTCAACACCAAGAACCTGAAGCGTCGCTTCACGGGTATCATCGAGATCGACAACGTTCAGCACGGCATCACCGGTGTTGGCCCCGGTGCCATCTCCTCGCTGGCCAACGCGCTGGCCACCCTGGGCATCGACCTCGATGTTGTCGACTACAAGGAACATGCCATTGGTCTGGGTCGCGACGTAAAGGCTGCCACCTACATCCAGTGTACTGCCGCCGGCAGCAAGGAAACCGTCTGGGGTGTTGGCATTCACCAGGATGTTGTCCAAGCCAGTTTGATTGCTCTCCTCAGCGCCGCCAGCTCTGTAAGTCCTTCCGTCTACCCTGTCCCTCCCCTGCCTCTTCTCCAACCGAAAACTTAAGTTACTAATCATGATTCGCAAAAAACAGTTCCTCACCAGCCGCGCCGGCTCTCCCGCCCCATTCCGCCCCATCCGTTCCAACACTCTCACAGACGAGGACCTCGAAGCCCTCGAAACCCTCGCCGGCAGCTCCAAGCCCAAAGTCGATTTGGCCAGCCTCACCAAGCAAGCCGAGAGCCAGTGATTGGCTGTCTCTCGTCAACAAAGAACAAGTCTTTCTTGTCTACCTTTAAACAAACATAACAAAACGTCTTTCGGTTTTGGGAGCATTTCTCTTGTTTCATAATGTCTAGGGGCGGGTCCTGGGAGGAATATATCCTCTTCTCTTTTTTTTCTCTTTCTTTTTCCCCTTCTTTTTTCTATATTACACGAATGTGAATGAAAGGTTTTGAAAAACTTTGTAATGTTCTCGGTGAGGAGCTCAGAGAGGGGGGAGGAGAAAGAGACAGAGAGAAAGCATGTGCGTGTGTTGTCACTAGAAGTGCTGGGTGGGTAATTTCGGGGCTAGTATTGTGAAGCAGATTCGTGCGATACTATCTTGCCAATATACGTTTCGAACCTTTCTATAGTACGACGCAAACATCTCAAGTGTACACACGCTGTCTGGTTGGATAACTGGCGGCTTCGAACTAAGTTGAAGATCTATTGGCCTAGTACAACCCGTGAAAGACCAATCCAATTAATCACTGTCCAAAGTTTGGGGATAGGAAGAGCGGATCGAATTAGAGAGGCTTGGATGGTGTGAATGTCTACGGATCCCCGATCTTCTATGGGCTACAATCAAGGCTCTGCTCAGCAACAGGAGGTAAGATGCTCATGGTCAACAGGATAATGAAGGATTCTTTCGAAGCTAATATAGAAGAATGTGGCTGCCTATCAATGCTATAACATCCGAGCACGTCTTTCTATATCAGGGGTAGTGTCATAGGCCGGGGCGGGGCCCAACAAGAAAAGAAGAAGAGGGGTATGCTATGTACAGAACAATGCATGTCGTTCGTCATGGGGCAGGAGTTGCGGGGGAAGCAAGGGGGCGAGCACATATACTTGTCAGACTGGAAGCAATAAAGCAATATAGGGGTTTTATGATAAAAGGATAAAGCCAATCAGAGTAGGAAGAAGAAGGGAAAGAAAGAGAGGGATGAGGCTTCATGATGATGGGCAGGCTATGCAAAATGGAAAACGGGAAAACGTGAGGTACCATGAAGGTGCTGCAAGTCGGTCAACAAGACACACACAGAGCCGGTTCGGCAGAATAGGCCTCGCAGCCTCGTACAAACAGACTGTTATGTACAGTACAGTGAATGCCGATCGCACTTAACTAACGTTGCTGATAGGGTGTCCCTTCGTGACTCGGAGCGTCGTCAAATCCCAGGGTGGATTGATAAATTAATGCTTCTTGTGGCCAGTCCCCGGAGCTGCGATCTAATGTGTCGGAAACGGGCTTTCGGTTGTATGAGTCGGACCGCGCAGGGAAGTTCCCACTTGCTTGCTGCGGCTGTGGTCCTGAGCCACCTCGATAGGGAAGGTTCTCGCCCATCATAGGTGCTCCTGAACCCGCCTGGGTAGACGAGTCGGCACCTGTCGTGTGGGTGAAATCTCCGAATTCGAAGCCGAAGTCGGGATGACCAATGGCCGAGGGAAGCTCGGCTCCTGTTACGGCAGTGACTCCATTCGTTGAAGCGGTTGTCGGTCGCGAGGGTTCAGTAATCTGTGGAACAGAGGCTATACCTTCAGACGCAGTGCCGGTAGGGCTGCCAATGCCAGGTTCCTGCATGCCAGAATACGAGTGTATGGATGCTTCAGAATGCTCGACAAGAACCGGAGCGGGCGACCGGGGTAAGGGCTCGGTATCCGGTACAACAGTAGATCTGCGAGTGCTGTTGCCCATAGTGCTGCCAGGTTTCGAGCTTCGACTCATCCGGTGCTGGGGTGCCGCGAAGGGGTTCTCAGAGCCTTCCATGTCACGAATGCTGAATTGAGCGATCGTTCGCAATTTTCGGGTAACCCACGAAGCCAGCACCTTACCGCGTTGCTTCTCTCCAAGACGAGATCTAGGGAAGTCTCCGTGGGAAACGAAGGCAACAATATCTGCAACGACTTGGTGCTCGTTGAGAATGGCATCAACAATAACAGGAACAAGTGATGCCAAATAAGCCTTTCTTGTTACCTCGACTACAACCACAATGAGGCCACCCGCTTGGAAAACGGCACTGATGGTGTTAATTAGCACGCGCACATGCAGCAGGAAGTTTTTCGTTGATCACCTACCACCCTCCGGTCACAATATTGCGGTGACATCTCTCCACCGACGACTCGATATCCATCGGGAAGTGGTTCAATCCGTTAACCTCAAAAGTCTCGCCGATTCCACCAAGGACGAAGAGAACTTGCATCTCCACCGGTTGGCCATTAGGACCAATTGGCCTTGTAACTGTGTGGAGGAAGCCCAGGTCTCCCGTCCGAACGTACGCCACGTTGGGGTCTCCATCCACTACCCGTCCGTTGAAGCGCTCCATATCAAAGTCCTGCCTAGAACCATAGAAGGCTTTGGCACAGGCATCGGATTGAATCCAAATCTCACCGTACTCTCCCACATGCGACAAGGTACATGTCTCCGGGTTCACAATCGCTATTTGTGTATTGACTGGCACCATACCCGAGTCTTGTAGAACAAGAGCGGTGGGATCAGTATCCGGGTCGACCGGATAGACAAGTCCCCTACGCAGAGAGCGCAGATCGAGCCATAATTCCACAGGCTCAATGCACATATACGACCTCGTAACTACCATAGGGTTCAAGACGTGGGAGTAGACGATGTTGATCGCGGTGCGGTCGAGACTGGTAGAAGCGAAATGGAGACGCACTTTTTGGTCTATAGTACTATTAGCAAGGTTCCTTCACAAATAGCACAGAGAGGCGCACAAATATCGACTCGCGGTCGTCCTTCTGCAGATATCATCAGGTTTTTCAGCTCTTGCAGCTGGAAACCCTTACCGGCCATGGCGCTCATTGCATAATCTAACATCTGGGCTGTGGCATATGTGTCCTTGATTTTGTACCGGGAGAGGGTGACGAAAAGAGTCATGGGATTCTGGGCGAAATCGACAGGCGAAACTAGATACGTAGGCGCACCTGCAGAGGCCAATCAACACACGTAATTGCCCGTCAGGGTCTATGAGCTTGACTTACCGACATAAATACCCATAAGACAGGTATGGAGGAATCCGAGTCCTAGAGTGCTTCGTACGCTTCCCAAGACCGGCCTCATGCTAGTCATTTGACATGTCTCCTTCTGGACTTTACACATGCCCATAATAGTGTCATGACCGATCTGGACCGAAATTCTCCTTTGGTCAGGAGTCCAATAAGTCCAAACCATGGCTGCCTGACTGCTTTGTTTCCAGGTCTCTTTCGCGGTAAAGCCAAGATCTCTACATCCATGAGACTGTTTAGGAGGCTTCGTGGTGTTGTAAATGGCCGGGACCCCAATTCGTAGGACTTGCGCAGATTGCTTGATATGCTGAGATACCAGCTTCTGCCTCAGGACATGGTCAACATCACTGTTGACAATGATCGCCTTGACTCGGAAGTCATTGATAACATGGAGGAATGCAGGAGCATCTTCAGAAAGACGATTCTGATCAATGGGAGCAAGAGGAACTGCCACCGCGCCCAAGCAGAGACAGGCATGGACTGCATAGACATATTCTTCCGAATGGGTGTACATCAAGATCAAATGATCGCCAGGTCGAACCTTGACCTTGTTCTTCAAGTACATGGCTACAGCAGCAACCTTCAGATCGAATTTCTTCCAGGTGATGCCTTTACCTTCCTTTCCACGACCATCAATGGAACAATAAGCGAGTTCTTCGGCTTGACGAGAAACACGCCATTGAAGAAGATCCACGATGCTAGAAAAGTTGTTCAGTGGTGTAGACGTACGATCATCCATGACGACGTCACGATAGTCAACTCCTGAGTATTGCTTTTCCTGCATTGCAAGCATCTCTTGCCTTGACATAAGTGCAAGTGGAGACCAGATGCCGCCGACGGGATCGACACCGATCGGCAGATTCAGGACTGACCGCTCAACGCCAAACTTGACATGAACACAAGGTAACGATCCATTGTCGAATTCTTTGCGGCAGAGCATGTTTCCAATTTCGCGTCTTCCATTCTTGGTCACACGAGGGAGCGTATTGGGGGCTGTCAATAGAACACAGTAGACGCGCAGATGGTGCTCCTGGTAAAGAATTTCCATACATCTCTCAGCCAGAGACTCTAATAGAACTGAATCCAGCTGCCGTGGAGGACCACCTGAAGTTGTTGGGGCTGTCGAAGCTGCGTATGACTCCAATACGACTATCGGAAGATGTTCCTCATTGACGAAAACATCGAAAGCTGTGCAGTCATGGATCTTCGGGATGTTCTTCAGAATGCTGACAATCAAATGCTGGACAAAGAAGTACCGGTGCTCAACGATCTCCTGTCCATGTTCTACCCATTCCACCTTCTGTCGAAGTCGATCTTCGTAAAGGCCCAGGACGAAAACCTTTCCCTCAATTATACAGCCAAGGAGACCTGTTCGGAGGAACTCCGGCTCAACCAAAACAGGTGTGGGGTTACCTTCCTCAAATTTGTATGGCCGTGCATGGAAGATAGCTTCCGTATGCTTCGGCAATGCCCAAAAGCCTCCTGAAAGAGAAGGCGAGTCAACCCAGATCTCGCCAACCACATTGGGGGTGCACAGCAAATTGGTTTCGGGATCAACCACCGACACTGTAGCATCGGGGATAGGATAGCCGAACGAGCCAACTCTTACAGCGTGAGGCATAGTGGGCGCAAACTTCTTCGCCTCTTCGCCCATGGCTAGAACCACGATCTCGTTGCTCTTCAGAGCCTCCTTGTCCAATAGGACCTCGAGCATTTCAGTCTTTCCTTGTTCTTGCGAGGCAGGAGCGGGAGCAGAAGAGCCACCACCCAAAAGACTGCTACCAAACCCGCTGTTGGTCTCGGTCTTTTCCGATTTCTTCTCTTCCTTCCTGAACCCCTCGCGCTGGCTGGGGTCCATCTCATGCGTCAGAGGGCAGCCCATGCGTTCTTCACCACCCAGCCAATCCCGCACACTAATGACCATGCCACCGTGTTCAGGAAGACAAAGCATTGGAGCGACAATTTCTCGAGCCCTGGGATTGCGCATGGGCCTAAGCCATCGGTCTGCTAGAATTTCATGAAATTCAGGATCGACCGTGAGCGAATCAATCAGACAGAGCTTCACCGACCCAAAATTGGGTTCAGAATTCTTCTTGTAATGTCGCGTGGCCATTGGATCTTGCTGGTAGTTGTATGCTGCGATTTTCAAGCCGGGGTAGTCAGCGGCCATGAGAGTTGCCCTGTATTTAGTGATTAAGTGAGCATAAAGACCAGGTGTCTCTACGGCCCGATCTTCAAGCCAGACAGTGGTGTGGCCCCCGTACACAGTAAGGAGGACGCCTAAAATCATTCCAATGCCTTGTCTGGGATCCAAGTAGCTGATAAGAGTCTCTCCACGTTGTTTCGCTGCGCTCGAAGATGCAGGCACCGTCGAAACTATTGCGCCGAGACAAGCCATCTGATGCATAATCGTTCGATGGCTCATGACAACACCACGCAGGTCTCCGGTAGGGGCCCTTGAAAATTCAATGTAAGCCAGATCGGGAACCACGAGCGGCGGGGTATCGTCTTTCTTCTTTGGGTGGTAGCTGCCAAACTCGTTCGTCTTCCACCATTCTACCCCTCTAGGCCAATTCAACTTTTGGGTTGTGATGTCTCTCTGGAAGCTCTTGAGGTTATTCTCCGTAGTTAGAGCGAGATGTGCTTGCGTGGAAGTCAAGATCAGGTTGAGGCTTTGATAGTCCTCGAGACTGTTTATCGGGACAGCGACAACTCCGGCGATGAAACATCCCATCAGGGCCACAGCAAACTCAATGATCTCGGAGTCGCGGTAGATCAAAGCCACGCGATCACCGCGATAGAGATTGCTCTTGTCCCGAATAACCTGCGCCACCTTCTCCGCGCGACTAGCAAGTTTGTCCCAAGTGATCGAGGCGATCTCCTTTCCTTTCTGGTCTAGGACCCAATAAGCAGGCTGCTTCGCATGCACTCGAGCACGATGCCGGAGAACCGCCGGGATGTTTTCGAAATTAGACATGGGGGTGTTCTTGTCGTGGGGGTCATGAACCGCAAATGGGATGTCCCGAGGTTCCAACGGTAGTAGGTGATCAAGTGCCGGTCCGTGAGGAAGTTCAGAAGCTGGAATCAATGGCGGTGCCATATTTGCCGTAGGGGAAAATGTGTCTGATTGGGAATAGCGATGAAAGCCACCACCGTAACTGTCTCTATAATCGTCCTGTTGCTGGCCAGCAAAATCGGAGAAGTACCCCTGCTGAGAGTCGAGCATGGTCGACTGTCGCGTACCAGTGCCAGATGGCATATCGTAGGCCCCGACAGGCTCATCGTAATGATCGTGCGGAGGGGCCGGATTGAATGCATAGTTCTGACTTAAAAGGGTTGCCGTCCTCGAATTCTCTTGTAGCGGCGGCGCAGGCTGTGCCTTCGGAAGGAAAAGAGAATCATAAGAAGCGGCTGACGGGGCTCTGTCTCCAGGTAATAACATGCTGTCTCGTTCGTATGAACCCTGCGTCTCGCCACTTATCCTCCGATCATGTCCGAAGCCCCCATTCTGAAAACTGTCGCGGCCGTTCGAGAAGGAATCCGACGGCCCACCATGGCTTGTGGAATCGGCCGTAGGGGGTCTGACGTTGAGGATAGCCGGAGGCGGGTGAGTTGAACTGGTGATTGATGAGGGAGCATTTCCGGATGTAGGGGTATTGAGGTCGAGTGCCATATTAGGCCCGAAAAACTGCGAGAGGAGTAATGTGCGCCGTTTCTGATATCTGCGACAAAATTAGTTCATGATCAAGTTGATGGTCTGCCACAAAACGTGTGTCCTGGGATTCTGAATAGATGCTAATGATGTTTGTCCTGAGGGGGGCATTATCCGCGTACACTGCCCGATTTTCGGCACCAACAGGATGCTTACCCTTTCTCGGTGATATCACCTTCCTAATAGTGCAGAGCAAGAGCAAGTCAGCCAAAGAGTTGCCAGTACGATAACCAGGTCCTGGATGGGCAGAAAGCAATGGTGACCGTCTCGTACCTCCAATTCCTTGTCAAGGTCGCGCAGAGCGGACTGCAGCTCAGGATTGTCGTCCGCCATGATCACAGAAGCGCTGAAGGGGGACAAATCGAGGGGCTGTCATTCGAGGGCGCGTACGACTGGGCGTGAACGAAGAAAGATGCTCTCATCGCAGGGTGTTTGAGTTGGCAATACAGGCACTGGGAACAGATGGGGAGAAAAGAAGAAGTCCCCAATAAATGCGGCCTCTTGCGACCGAGGAGAAGCAGTTTGAATGGGGGGATGTGGAGGAGGGGAAGGGGGGGGGATGGGGGGATTCTCTCACGTTCCTCGGAGTGTCTCTCGCTTTCTCCGCGCCCGAAGAGCCACAAAGAGCCACAACGTCACCTGCCGAGTGGGCTTTAATTAGGTGGGAGTAGGGCCTGTGAGGCGGGCCGCAGACGCACAATTGGCACTGTTGGCACAATTGGCACCGCCACACCGCGGGATGATGGACGATGAGGATCTGGGGATGATGTTAAATTAAGGTACTGTACAGTACAAACATACAGCCAACTACGTCCTATGTAAGTGACTGGCGGCTCGTTTCATTCTAGTGGTAAATGCGCTTGACGCTCGTCTTCAGTCACCACGACGACCATAGATGACCCCTGAAAGAACAAATTATCTTGTGTTTCCAGTGACAGGTACGCGTTCTTGTAACAGCCAATCCTCATGTCCGTCCCTCGGTGGTGTGGGAGGGATTTCTGCATGATTTGACTCTCACCGGCTTTTCCGCTACCCGGTGCGGGATGTTCCCCTTTCTGACTTATTTACATTGTCTATCCAAGGTTGGGGAGTTGACCTTCCCTTGCCAGACGGTAGACCTTGGTCCCAACACTAAAATAACTCTGATAAACTGGAAACGAAATTTCACAGCAACCTATGGTACTCTCTTTCGCTTGAATCTATACTTTTTCTATCTTTGAACATCTTTCTACTCTAGCTCAGGTGGAGTCAATGCATGCACCTTGGCGCCGAGATCCACCTAGGGAGAACAATCGACTGGTGAGAATAATAACCACCCCCCTGGTGGTATTGAATCAATCCGATGCCGATTGTGCTGTGTCAACCTGTCACAAGAGTTTCCTCTGGGAAATTACGGGAAGACCAACCCTGCTCATTTCTACCTTGAACCTACCATCCAGCTTAAGACTGGAAGCGGTTCAGAACACAAACTCATGCCTTGAATGAATTTGCTACGAAATGTTTTCTGAATCCAGGGCTGATTATGAGGCACTCGTTTTCGATGACGCGCTCTGGGATCGTCTTCATCACCTTCTTGCGCAATGCTATTATTGAAGTCTAGTCCAGCCTAGTCTGAGCGAGTCAGTCAGCATGGAATGGAGTCCAGCTGGTGTTAGTATAACAGTGACTCTCGGACGAAAAGGCGCTTTGACGACTGAAGTCCTCCACGCAGCGTTCGGAGCTCGTAGGACTATTGGTCACCTGTTATTTACACCTCGGTGGCTTCAAATCAGAGATCGCCTGCTTATGAACTCGCTTCACGTCAACCAGGGGTTGAATGGGGTACATCAAGACACCGCTCATTAGGGCGTGATGATGAGTCTCCCCTCAATATGAATGATGAAGTCGAGATCCGGCCCATTGAGTTTGGTGGGCCAATCACCAGGGAACATTACTTGTAGAACGGAACTAGAGTCCGACCATGCCCTTATGACAAACTAATCCCCAGGTGTCTACATGGTTCGCCTATCTGCTACGACCACTGCGATACGTGCGATGAAAGTCTACTCCGATCAGATGAGCAGAAGGCCCTACCCTGTTCACCAGGGGCATAGAGATAGGCATGATCGTCCTGGTGCTCCAAGTGAGAGGAGGCTATCGGTTCGAGGGCATGAATTCCATGCTCGTAATGCGACCGAGCACAGACCTACTGCTATCGAGCGAGTGCTGGAGTCCTTCAATACCAACATAGAAGAATTTCACTTTTTGCGAGATCGCTTGAAGGGTTGTGCTCAAAGACTCGCTCTCTCCGGCTCTGACCATACGTGGATACAGGCATTGTGACTCTTATAGCGGGAATGAATAATCGTGGTCGTTGATCGCAATTCTCATCCAATCATTCGAGATCTGTCTAGTCAATCTGGTAGGAGATCTATTAACTGGTGCCGCGTGGATGTAGCTTCTCCAATCTGGAAGACATCGTTTTGAGCCATCGAAGGTAAAATGAACTTCGCAGACAAGTGTTTTATCCTAGAATTAAGGACAATCGATTCGTTGAGGATGCCGTGCTATAATTGAGATCCTAAAATCAAGACCAGATACCCCACAAGCGGTCTTTGGTCTGTCTCAAATCGATCCCCCAAAGCAACGAGCGCATGCTGCTGCTGTGTTGACCGATGGTGAAGGACTCTGTCCCAAACGATTGGCCCAAGACTGATATTTCGAGCGTGTACATAGTAGAACTTGGTAACCAGGCTTGGGCGGCTGTGAAGTGATAGGCTGGTATCGATGGCCTTTCCTCCAGCAAGATACAGTCTAGATCATCGAGGATAGTTCGTAACATGTCGGTGGGTTGAAAGCGGAGTCAGATGTGGTTATCTACCGGGTCATCATGGGCTAATAGGCTAATCCTGATCAGGGTTGGTGCACCGGAGCAGACCCGTTAGTGCTGAGTCACATGACACCGCGGGCACCATTGGTGGTCGGCCCTGCCCTAAGCCCACCCACCGCTAAGCGAGTCGCACCTCGAATTTCCGTGGGCTCAGCGACACATTTCAGCCGACCGACTGTATTCGTCGACGTTGCAGGATCACCCAACGACACCGTCCGCCACCCCTTCACGTATCCCTCCCTCGACAACAGGTGCATACGTCGTCCAACATGTCTGAACACGGCGAAGTCGAGGTCGAAAACCCTGCTGCGGCCTTCCAGGTCCTGCCCAAGGATGCTCTTGCCGAGCAGGGCAGCGTGAAGCTGTTCAACAAGTGGAGCTACGAGGATGTTGAGATCCGGGACATCTCCTTGACGTAGGTGCTTCCCATTTCATCGCGATTGTTATTACCACGAAGAGAAGGAACGAATTGGCGCCATGGAGGAAAACAAATCTGCACCAGCCTGTTTGTCGGGTTGGAGGCAACCGTCGATTCGAATCCAAGCAAAACACCGACGCGGAAGGATTTGCGCAAATGGGGCAAAGGAGAATCTTGATTCCGAATGGATTGGACAAGGGAGGACGGCAAAGGCTCGGAATGAGATGTGCTGACTCGAATTTCACGCAACCAGCGACTACATCCAGATCCGCTCCCCTGTCTACCTTCCTCACTCCGCTGGTCGCTATGCCGCCAAGCGTTTCCGCAAGGCTCAGTGCCCCATCATCGAGCGCCTGACCAACTCCCTCATGATGAACGGCCGCAACAACGGAAAGAAGCTCATGGCTGTCCGCATCGTTGCTCACGCTTTCGAGATCGTATGTTCTACCGAAGCACTACTCCACCGACAGAAAACCGAAATCAGCCTTGGAAGAAGGCGCTAACAGTTCGCATTAGATCCACATCATGACCGACCAGAACCCTCTCCAGGTTGCCGTTGATGCCATCGTCAACTGCGGTCCCCGTGAAGACAGCACCCGTATTGGTTCCGCTGGTACCGTCCGTCGCCAGGCCGTCGATGTTTCTCCCCTCCGCCGTGTCAACCAGTCCATCGCTCTCCTGACCATCGGTGCTCGTGAGGCCTCTTTCCGCAACATCAAGAGCATTGCCGAGTGCTTGGCTGAGGAGCTCATCAACGCCGCCAAGGGTAGCTCCAACTCCTACGCCATCAAGAAGAAGGACGAGCTCGAGCGTGTTGCCAAGAGCAACCGGTAAAGTGGGAACTTTGGGCGTATTCTCCGTTTGGTTCTGGTTTTGCGTGTACTGGAGTGGACGGGGGGTTCAATAGGATTCAGTCGATTTGCATGCATCTGCGCGACTGTACATACCTGAAAACAGTCACGGGAGGGAGCGAGATCCTCAAAAATGAGAGAATTGGACGGCTTTCCTTCCACAGTAGTTGAGATGCGATCATGAAGACCTCTGGCTTGTTCGGAGTCAGAACCTACCATTTTTTAACTCTAAACGAAAAGATTTTTTTACCTGTTCTCATGTTCTTTCGGCCATTGTAGTATTTGAACACACTTGATGAACCCCTCAACGGCTCTATCATGTGTATCCTAGATCTGTCTCTACTTATGAAAATTAGTCGTGCGGCAAGCGCAGCAGCGCTTGATAGACAAATAGACAAAATCTGATGTCGCAGGGACCACTGCAGTCCAGTTGTTCCCGCCGCCGTCGCCGCCTTTGGCTGATCGCTTATCGATAGGCCAGAACCCCGTAGCAGGAGAAAAAAAATGTTCTGGGTCTATTATCAGTCACGGGCAGAGCCAACCACCTTCTTCCATCTCCCTCCTCAACCACCCCCCCATCAACCCATATCACTCCTCTAAATTCTCACCATATCCAGTCGCAAATATGGTGAAGAGGAAGTTAGGGGCCTTGGAAAAGGTCGAGGCTGATCTGTAAGTGCTCCTCACTGTCGGACAGAGAAAATTCTACCCGCCGACTCGGAGAGAGGAGAGAGAACTTCATCACGATCTCTGACACATTTTTACCTTTTTTTCCAGGCCTAATCTTCAGCACAAGATTAGAAGAGACCCCAAGTAAGTCATTTTTTTCCGCTACAATGCCCACGACTGCTAGAAGTAAGCTAACCAGGGTGCCTCTGTCAGGTCCTACATCGAAGATTTTCGCGCTCAGCACTACCAATATGAGAGTCACCGCGAGATTTTCATGGCGGCACCTTCGTCGGCCACTGACACGGGTATCATCTCGCTCCGTGAACTGATCGATTTTATCGCCCACGTGGCCGACTGCTACCCTGAAATTACAAAGGACTTTCCTCAGCAACTGATGGATATCCTGTCGCAGCATCACTTGATCTTGCAGGCGGAGTTGCGGGAGAAGATCGTTGGAAGCTTGGTACTTCTGAGAAAGAAGGAACTCTTGGATTCCGCGACGTAGGTCCTTCTCAAATGTTGGCCAATTAAGCGCTACCGCTAATCCGTGCGACTCTAGACTCCTTCAGACACTGTTCCCCATTCTCATCTCAACGCCCAGCAAGACACTGCGCGCATTACTGTTCCAAAAGATCCTGATGGACCTGCGATCTTCCAATGCGAAGTCTACGAATCACAAACTCAACCGTACCATGCAGACCGTCCTTTACAACCTAGTCACTTCCGACCGCACTTCCTCCAAGGGTCTGTGGGCTATCAAGCTTACGCGCGAATTGTGGAAGCGCCAGATTTGGACTGATGCCAAGGCTGTCGAAGTCATGAAGGAGGCTAGTCTTGCTACCAACGAGAAGGTCATTGTGGGCGGAATCCGCTTCTTTCTGGGCGGTGATAAGGAACGTGAAGAGATGGAGGATGAGAGCAGCGATGAAGAGGCCATCGACATGGGCCGAGTAAAGCATATCATCGGCATCAACAAGAAGACCAAAAAGAAGGCTCGCGCTGTCGAGAAAGCCAGAGCAACCGTCAAGCGCCGTGAGCGCAAGAAGAACCAACCCCACCCGCTGAACTTCTCCGCGCTTCACCTGTTGCACGATCCCCAGGGGTACGCAGAAAGCCTGTTCTCCAAGCACCTACAGAGCACCAAGTCTAAATTGAACCTGGATCAAAAGCTGTTGGTTCTTCAGCTTGTGACTCGCCTGGTCGGTTTGCACAAGCTTCACATCATGCACCTGTACTCCTATTTCCAAAAATACCTCACGCCCCGCCAGCCTTCCGTCACTTCGTTCTTGGCTTCCCTTGCGCAGGCCTCCCACGATCTGGTTCCTCCCGATGACCTTGAGCCCTTGGTTCAGAAGATTGCCAACGAGTTCGTTTCCGAAGCGTCGGCAGCAGAGGTCGCATCCGCAGGTCTCAATGCTATCAGAGAGATTTGCGCGCGTCAACCCCTTGCGATGAACGAGACTCTGTTGCAAGATCTTGTCATGTACAGAAAGAGTAAGGACAAGGGAGTGGTCATGGCCGCTCGTGGTCTGCTCAGTCTGTTCCGTGAACTCAACCCTGAATGGCTCAAGAGAAGAGACCGTGGAAAGGAAGCCTCTATGGGCCTGCGGTCGGGAGAGAAGAAGGAGAAACGCTTCGCCGAGCAAGCGGCCGGCGGTATCGAGGGCATCGAGCTGCTTGAGCAATGGAAGGAAGAGGAACGTCGCAAGAAGAGGGCCGAGAAGGGCCTGCCCTCCGATGCGGAAGATGACGAAGAGGAAGAAGAAGAGGATAATTGGGATGCCTGGAATGTCGAGGAGGACGAGGACAGCGATGACTCTGATGGCTGGGTTCAGGTGCAGAGTGATGCTGAGATTGAGCTAAGTGACTCGGATGACGACGAAGAAGACTCGAAACGTCCGAAGAAGAAGGCCAAGTCGGATGAAGAGACTGCTGCCGAGACTGCTGCGGAGGCGACCACCGAAGAGTCCCAGGCACAGAAGGAATTAGACCAGAAGCTCAGCCTGGCAGCTACTCGCATTCTTACGCCCGCCGATCTGGCGAAGCTGCAGGAGCTACGCACCGAAGCAGCTGTCAACGCCCTTGCGGGCGTGAAGGGGCGTCAATCTGCCAGCAACCGCCACCACGACGACCCCCTGACGGCTGAAGAGATCGAGGGTCTGGCAGCTCTGTCCGCCGGCAAAGCCACGCGCGAGGAACGCATTGCTCATGCCAAGGAGGGCAAGACCGATCGGGCTGAGCACAAGAGTGTGACCGCCAAGCGCAAGGAGAAGAAGGATGCACAGGGCAAGAGTACTACCAACAAAGAGAAGGCTCGTAAGAAGAACTTCCTCATGACCTTGGGCAAGGCGAAGAGCAAGAACAAGCGCAGTCTGGTGCAAACGCGAGCGGTGTTGAAGGCGCACCAGGAGCGGGCCAAGCGTGGTGGTCGCAGGGGAAACACTGGCAATTGAGGTATATCTTGATGATACCCTTGTTTTATTTCTGAATTGTAGATTGTCGAGAAGCTTGCAAATTATATATTACTCTGCTTATCCGAATGGCGCCGTTCATTATACATAGGATACGTGACACCCTGTAGTATTTATGTGAAGAGCTTGACTGCCAGAACAGCAGAGCGCTCCGAACGGAGAAAAGAACATCCAGATACTGCAGTGCGTTTCTAGGGAGAGTGGCCTCTCTCGCACCTTGCTTGATGACTGGATCATCTAAATTTTGTACAAGGGCAATCAGATGAACCGCATCTTGCACTGGCCATTGCTGTCTCTCCTGTGCCCTATGTAAGGAGTAAGTAGGGTGTACCTAAGTGACTGCCATACCCTTGGTGGTCTAATCCTCAACGCTATGTAGCCCCCGAGCTAGGGTTGGAAGCTGCAGAACTGAGCAGGTAAGAACCGTGGGGCTGTCAGCCTTGAAAGGGCTTTCCCCAAGTGAGAAAACTCTCTCGGGTCGTGTCGAAGCAACGTCGCCTTCCTACCTTACTGGCAAGATAAATTACAGATGATGCCCTAATCAGCCTGGCCGTTTCGGCATCATTCCATAGATGAAAGTATGTGAAACGGAACCCTTGAAGAAAATAGACGGCGAATTCATTCTCGTATTCTTGTCAAGACCTGAGTAGACCCATGACTTCTTGACATTCGAGGCCTAGAAAGGTGATGTTACAAGTAGATGCACCATAGGCTTTTCAAGATCCTCCTATCATTTCACGACAGCTTTCTTCAAGGATGTCTACCTGCCCACATAGTAGCATCATGTAAGATTTTTTAGACCCGTCCACATGGACAGTGCGATGAGCACGCTGGAGCTTTCGTTCCGGTTTGAATGCTGGTTCATGGCGTAACAGACTGGCCGTAGCTAAGCAAGAGCAGGCGACGCCGATACCATTCTAGCTCCATAGCAACTTCCTGAGATATATTGGTCGTAGATGAGCAAGAGCAGGCGGCGTCGATGCCGTTGTTGTTCAATAGTAACTTCCTTAAATATCATGAATTAGATTTTACGTCGTTGCTATTTATCTTGACTCTTTCCTGGGACTCCCTCAATTCTGTACTTATCTCCATCATCTTCTCTCATCGCCTTGCGTTTTCGAGCAGTCGAATGGGACGTTGCAGCGATCAGAGCAGGCATTTGTCTTGTTTCGATTGAAGATCCATGTCAGCTCACAGTCTAGGGATGATGCTCCTTCAGCTGGCGTGTCCTAGGGTCAAAATGCCTCTCAGGCAGCATCGCATGCGGTTCATCATCGAGGCAAAAGATTTCCTTGTTACGATCTGAGGCCCCGGCCAGTGAAGAAAACG